AACTTTTTCGGCTACCTAACCTAAGCTAACCTATAAAGATAGGTTAGGTTAGGTTAGGTAGGGTTGGTTAGGTTCGGTCATATATCTACGTTAATTTTAACTCCAATAAAAAATAATTGACCTCATACATAATGAAATGGGTAGCTTTATCATTTCATAAGAAAAAAATTAGAGAAAATATATTAATTCAGGAAAACTTGGCTTATTAGGTAAATCGGGCGTTGCATAGTAGGCTGAGAAGTGCGTTCTGGCTACTAGGTACGACATATATATATATATATATATATATATATATATATATATATGTCGTACCTAGTAGCCAGAACGCACTTCTCAGCCTACTATGCAAGGCCCAATTTGCCTAATAAGCCAAGTTTTCATGAATTAATGGTTTTTCGTCTACCTAACCTACCTAACCTAACCTAACCTAACGTTTTCGGCTACCTAACATAACCTAACCTATAAAGATAGGTTAGGTTAGGTTAGGTAGGGTTGGTTAGGTTCGGTCATATATCTACGTTAATTTTAACTCCAATAAAAAAAATTGACCTCATGCATAATGAAATGGGTAGCTTTATCATGTCATAAGAAAAAAATTAGAGGAAATATATTAATTCAGGAAAACTTGGCTTATTAGGCAAATCGGGCCTTGCATAGTAGGCTGAGAAGTGCGTTCTGGCTACTAGGTACGACATATATATATATATATATATATATATATATATATATATATATATATATATATATATATATATATATATATATATATATGTCGTACCTAGTAGCCAGAACGCACTTCTCAGCCTACTATGCAAGTCCCGATTTGCCTAATAAGCCAAGTTTTCTTGAATTATTATATTTTCTCAATTTCTTTTCTTATGAAATGATAAAGCTACCCATTTCATTATGTATGAGGTCAATTTTTTTTTATTGGAGTTAAAATTAACGTAGATATATGACCGAAGCTAACCAACCCTACCTAACCTAACCTATCTTTATAGGTTAGGTTAGGTTAGGTAGCAGAAAAAGTTAGGTTAGGTTAGGTTAGGTAGGTTAGGTAGTCGAAAAACAATTAATTCATGAAAACTTGGCTTGTTAGGCAAATTGGGCCTTGCATAGTAGGCTGAGAAGTGAGTTCTGGCTACTAGGTACGACATATATATATATATATATATATATATATATATATATATATATATATATATATATATATATATATATATATATATATATATATATATATATATATATATATATATATATATATATATATATATATATATATAATGTTGTACCTAGCAGCCAGAACGTTGTACTTGGCCTACTATGCAAGGCCCGGTTTGCCTAATAGGCCACGTTTTGCTGAATTTATATATTTTTCCAAATTTCAAAAAGAAATTTGGGTTTCTGAGAAAACTGAGGAAACAAAAATTGTACCACTTACGGGCTATTCATGCCCGTGCCACCTCTTGGGTGGCTTAATCTTCATCATCATCATCATCGGAATAGCGGACAGTACAATTTCCACAGTCAACAATGTAGCACTCGGCGTGTACAGTCCTAATCGACCCCAAGACGCTACAGCTTTGACACAGACCAGACAGCAGACTACGACCACATCCAGCTACAACGCTCTCGCTCCCCAAGTTCAGACACTCAATTCCCACTCGAGCTGCCACGCTCTCCCACATAGAGCTCCGCGACTCCGGCCTCACTCAGCTCTCTGCTCTGCTCCAAGCTCCGTCTCAACGTTTACGACAACGCCACCAACCGACTACTGTTATCAAGACTACTAAATAAATATGAAAACTCACTAAACAATGAGTATCTAATCTACCCAACAACGTAACATAACCGTACGTTACATTGGTGACCCCAGAGTTTCGACGATACCCAGCCACGATGGACTACAACATGGACTCTCAATGGACCTAAATATAACCCATCATAATGAGACAGACATTGCAGCCAAATTAGCGTGTAACAAGTTTGAAGTTGAATTAGATCTAGGTATCCCCATCTCTGCTGTCAAAACTGTATTGGTCCAAACATTCAGATCTGATAGGAAAGAACTTACTGACTCCCAACGACCTGAAAGTACTAGTATAAAAAGCTATGATTCGTTCAGATCTGAAACCTACATCTATAGGCAGCACAAAACGTCCACTAGACAGTGCGACACAGTGGTTGCAAGGATTAGGTTGGGTTACCGTTACCTGTGGCAGGTGGCTGCAGGTGACGGGTCTCCCAATCCTGGGCACTCCAGATGCAAACTCTGTGAGCAGGAACTACGGCATGATCTCCCGCACTACATCACTGAATGCCCAGTTATTAGACCTTTCAGACCAGTTGGCATGAGGGACCTGGAGCTTTGCAATTACTTTATTCACTCTCGTATTCTTGAAGATATCCTCACAGTATACCCAAAATTTGCCAGTGCAGGCTATTAAACACATGGCTCTGTATGACTAACCATCCTGCGAGATGGGGACTTGTATTACCACTGCTACCTTATTCAATCTTGTGTTGTTGATATCCTCAAAATGCATCCGGAGTCTGCCAGTGCAGACCGCTTATCACATGCCTCTGTATGACTAACCATCCTGTATGATGGGGATTTTTTAGCATCACCTAGTTAGCTTTTTTGACACACTGTACTCCACTTCATATAGTCTAGGGTAGCAACACTAATGCAGATGTACCTAAGGTGTTAATAAAAAGAAAATCAATGGACCTCTACTGCTACTGCTGCATGGTGTGGACGACGATACCTAGCCACGATGGACTACAACATGGACTCTCACTGGACCTCTACTGCTACTGCTGCATGGTGTGGACGACGATACCTAGCCACGATGGACTACAACATGGACTCTCACTGGACCTCTACTGCTACTGCTGCATGGTGTGGACGACGATACCTAGCCACGATGGACTACAACATGGACTCTCACTGGACCTCTACTGCTACTGCTGCATGGTGTGGACGACGATACCTAGCCACGATGGACTACAACATGGACTCTCACTGGACCTCTACTGCTACTGCTGCATGGTGTGGACGACGATACCTAGCCACGATGGACTACAACATGGACTCTCACTGGACCTCTACTGCTACTGCTGCATGGTGGTGGACCTCTACTGCTACGCATGGTGTACCGATACCTAGCCACGATGGACTACAACATGGACTCTCACTGGACCTCTACTGCTACTGCTGCATGGTGTGGACGACGATACCTAGCCACGATGGACTACAACATGGACTCTCACTGGACCTCTACTGCTACTGCTGCATGGTGTGGACGACGATACCTAGCCACGATGGACTACAACATGGACTCTCACTGGACCTCTACTGCTACTGCTGCATGGTGTGGACGACGATACCTAGCCACGATGGACTACAACAAGGACTCTCACTGGACCTCTACTGCTACTGCTGCATGGTGTGGACGACGATACCTAGCCACGATGGACTACAACATGGACTCTCACTGGACCTCTACTGCTACTGCTGCATGGTGTGGACGACGATACCTAGCCACGATGGACTACAACATGGACTCTCACTGGACCTCTACTGCTACTGCTGCATGGTGTGGACGACGATACCTAGCCACGATGGACTACAACATGGACTCTCACTGGACCTCTACTGCTACTGCTGCATGGTGTGGGCCGCTGCCACCTGTCATGGGACGCTCCCAACAACCTCACTTCAGCTATGATTTTCACCGCGATCATCTCTGCATTTTCATCAACTACAGCTTGCTGCACCGCGAGCGTTACTTACTCATCTGACAGTTTAATCAGCAACTACATCATGTGGGATCTACAGCCTGTCCTGCCCACTCTAAACATAGAGCTCTTGGCCAAGATCACTACCGAGAACGGTCATAGGCTGTTCAATCTTGTGTAGATAAAACAATAATAAAAAGTATAGTGTAGTCTGAATGTACAAAGAATGAATATAAATAACTAATTGTAAATATAGGAAATTTAAAGAATGAAAATTTAAAGAATCTAATTTAACCCAGAGATAAAATAATCATAAGTACCCATATATGATCACAGATCACAGACTCAGCAACTGGCAACCGTCACGGCCGGACGTGTCCTCGTTGCTCCAGCTCTTCTCTCTCGCACCCAGCACTGCCGGGTGGGTAAATAATTGGCAGCAGACTTGCGTCTCTCTAGCTGGTCAGACCCCACTCCTAACTTGGTGTTTTATGCCGGGTAGAGACGGGAGGCCATCTCCAGTGACGGGTAGTCTTTGAGAGAGAGACCCATCGACCACCAGGAAGCTCATCATGCGTCACAAGATCCGGGGAACGCCCCTTAACGAGCAACCATTCTCCAAGACATCTCTCCTGAAGCTCTTTAAAGACATTGCAGGAGTGACACCCAACGACATCAAACAGGAAGGCACGGACATCCTCTTCTTCTTTTATAGTGAGGAGGAAGTCGACAAACTTCTGTTTTTCAGCGCCAATTTCTCCAACCAACACCTTCGTCTCAACTTCCCACGCCAGTACCTGGCTGAACACTGTCGTTATTCATGACCTCGGCCAATGGATCGTGGAACAAGATGAAGCTGATGAAAGAGCGTTCATGCGCGACTTCAAGGCATCAAACCCGGACCTAGGGCTTCACGAAGCTCACTTCTTCAACAGAAATCGCTCCCTGAAGCTGACCTTCGAGACAGTACTGCGGCTACTATGGCTACCAGAAATGGTGTTTACAGCTTTGGTATTCACATTCCTTCATTCCGTGTGAAGATGGAACGTTTCCACATGGTCAACCAGTGCCTCCGGTGCTACGAGTACACCCACTCCACCAGCAGATGTACCCAGCGTATTCAGAAGTGTAGCCTCTGCTCAGCTGACCACCATTACTCCATCTGCAAGTCTGAAACACTATGCTGCTTGCTGTGCACAGGCGACCATCCGGCAATCTCCATACGTTGTCCTCATAGATAAGACGTCATTAAAAACATGGAGAAATCCACATCTTCAACCGGAGCCAGTACCTCTGAAGCAACAAGCCAATCACCGACCACCTCTACTTCAGGTTTCAACGCCCAAGCCGCCATTTTCCCGGAGCTTCCGGGAGGACGTCCCACTGCTACTACCAGCCAATGGGGAGCCAGTTCCCAAACGCCAACCTGCGATTCGTCGAGCCAGCCATCATCCCCGGCCCACACCGACCAACCACTGAACAGCACAGTTCAACTATTAACATCGGCGGCCAGCATGATAGCTTGCAATAACCCCCAGGAATACGTAAGAATATTAAATATTCTATACAAAGCAAATGGTCTTCCAGCTTTCATAGTTCCAGAAGAAGTCTTCACCAACACCACTTCAAGTTCTCAAGATACAGTCTTGGTCCCTGACATCACCGTGAACGCCGCCGTGCTCACGGATCTACTATCAACAGCAAAGCCTGCTCCTCCAGCAACTTCATCACAAGCCACCCAGACGCCGACGCCTCCGCTATCGACTACTGCTACAGTACCATCTCTCGTGTGCGAACCCTCTCAACGTCCAAAATCAGCTGCAACTCCCATTAAGCCTCAACAGGCAAGAACTGAACCTCCAAGATTCACTGCATCTACTCCTGACTCAGCTGACTCATCAGATGAGGACGTCTCGGTGGGAACACCACCTCCTCCACTGAAGCAACCCAACACAACAGAAGATTTCCGGCTGGAAGCTACCTCCAACGATAGCCTCACCGTATCAACACGAAGCAAGACCAACAAACACGCCAGGAGGCCTGGGAAGAAGAAAAACACCGACGATCTGTGTCCGAGTACATCAAGGAATCAGTAGAACACCAACGCAAAGCTGTAAAGAACACCGCGACGAGAAGCCCTGCCTCCTACAAGACACATCAGCGAGCACCCATGAGAACTCCACTCTACCACCACACAGCAGCATCAGCTGCAAGTCTTACCCACGGTGGTTGGGCCACCGATCTTTCATCTCCCCTCTTCACCTCGTCTCCAGTTCCTCGCTCAAGATTTCTGCATCCTCGCCCCCGTCTTCAACCCCCTGCTTGCCTGCTCTAGGGCTTTATAATCGGTTAACCCATATATAAGTGAGGGGATGCAAGGAAGTAATTGCATACGGGTATTATATATAATTTTATAGTTATAAGAATAAATTAAATATCACCTTGGTGTAGTGTTAAAAAGAACCAAGGATCAATACTATGTCAAAGGTAGATCATAAATATATAAATAATAAACCAGTCACAGTGTATTCTTTTGTTTAAATTTTTTTAAATTTTGCCCCGAGGGGCGAGTTTATTGGGCAGCGCCACTCATCTTGTGAGTGAACATACCGCCATAGCAGAATGTACAACACTCCCCAATAGGAAGAAAACCCGCTGGGTTGTTCATCCTGTCACTTGTACCCAGACACAGCTGGGACTTGCTTAACTGTCTCAAGTGAACAGCTCCTCAAACAAGAAGATTAACATTTATCAACCCTTAAAAGCTTACGTTATCTTGCGGGTGCAAAATGGGGAAATCTTTTAAGAACAGTATCAATATTTGACAAATAGTGTTTTCCTAACTCAAACAATGTGGGGTTTATTATTCTACAGTTATTCCTAATGTCTCTCAGGTGTTCACATTCACGTAGATAGTGGTCAAGGCGGTGTCCATCACTCTCACCACAGATTCTGCAACTTCGCTGATCAACTGTTGTTTCCATTCCAAATCTCCATGGATATTTGTATCCAAGACGGATTCTCGCTATTACAGATTCTCTCACTCGTCGTCCTCCTCTTCGGCCATACTGATTGGGATTGCCAGCTGCAACCATGTTGTACCATCGTACAGATTCACTGGTTTGTGCTTCTATCCTCCTTTCCTCAGTTACCTTGTCACGGTGATGTTGCCTGATAATACCTCTAATTTGTAGTTGAGTCTTGGGTATGAAGTATTCAATATGGTCTCCTTCAGCGCCTTCAGCAGCCAGCACATCTGCTCGTTCATTCCCACATATTCCAACATGGGAGGGGATCCACAGAAACTTGATGACTCTTCCCTGATTGGTAAGTACTCTCACAGCTCTCTTGATTTCAGCGACTATTGCAAGATTTTCTGCCTGATTTTTACTTAGGCTTTGCAGTGCTGCTTTTGAATCGGTGCAAATCACTGCACCATTAGTGTTCCGTTCAAGAAACCTTAACGCCATAACAATGGCAGTTAGCTCTGCTTGCGTTGAAGAGGCATAGTTCTCAATACGTGCTTTTTCTTCATTTCTGCGTTGGAAGGTATTATCCTTGATTACCGTGTATGCTGCACCAGCCCTGCCATTGATAGGATTAGATGACCCGTCAGTGTAGATTTGATCTAGTTCATCTCCGGCTTCTTTATAAATGTCCTCGAGATACTTGTGCCTCATTTCTTGTGGTATCATGTTGGATTTTTTCATTGCCATTTCATTGATGTTTAGTTAAACCAGACATTCTCTTCTGTTATTATACATACTATTCCACCCCTCAATGTGAAGCCGGTGGAGGGTCCGTTCATAAAGAACATTTTAAGTTAAATTAAGTTTCTAATACACGCCTTGTTTTATAGGGACGGGGTGAGTGTGGAGGGAACCACATTCAAAATGCCCGCCAGGGAATATTTCTTATGTTAGCCGCTCCTGATTGGTGGACGGCAGTCCGACGCCGTGCATCTGCGCATCACCCACGCGCATGCCCGGAGGCGACAGAAGAGAGCAGAGAAGAACCGCACCGCAGCGAAGACACACCTGTTAGTGACGCCTCCTGGACATTGGTCATCCAGCACCTCGTATTGGCCAGCTACCATTGACCCTCGCCCATCCTCGCCCCTGAGAAGCCGTAGTATTGCTTCAGCCCGCCCCTGAGAAGCCGTCGTATTGCTTCAGCCCGCCCCTGAGAAGCCGTCGTATTGCTTCAGCCCGCCCCTGAGAAGCCGTCGTATTGCTTCAGCCCGCCCCTGAGAAGCCGTCGTATTGCTTCAGCCCGCCCCTGAGAAGCCGTCGTATTGCTTCAGCCCGCCCCTGAGAAGCCGTCGTATTGCTTCAGCCCGCCCCTGAGAAGCCGTCGTATTGCTTCAGCCCGCCCCGAGAAGCCGTCGTATTGCTTCAGCCCGCCCCGAGAAGCCGTCGTATTGCTTCAGCCCGCCCCGAGAAGCCGTCGTATTGCTTCAGCCCGCCCCGAGAAGCCGTCGTATTGCTTCAGCCCGCCCCGAGAAGCCGTCGTATTGCTTCAGCCCGCCCCGAGAAGCCGTCGTATTGCTTCAGCCCGCCCCGAGAAGCCGTCGTATTGCTTCAGCCCGCCCCGAGAAGACTCGAGAAGTTGGCACTGATGTTTGCCGCCCCCCCCCCGGCTCGCCGAGGCCACATCACTGGCCAGTGTTGGAAGGTGGAGAAGTTGGCACTGATGTTTGCCCCCCCCCCACCCCCGGCTCGCCGAGGCTACATCACTGGCCAGTGTTGGAAGGTGGAGAAGTTGGCACTGATGTTTGCCCCCCCGGCTCGCCGAGGCCACATCACTGGCCAGTGTTGGAAGGTGGAGAAGTTGGCACTGATGTTTGCCCCCCCCCCACCCCCGGCTCGCCGAGGCCACATCACTGGCCAGTGTTGGAAGGTGGAGAAGTTGGCACTGATGTTTGCCGCCCCCCCCCACCCCCCGGCTCCCCGAGGCCACATCACTGGCCAGTGTTGGAAGGTGGAGAAGTTGGCACTGATGTTTGCCCCCCCCCCCGGCTCCCCGAGGCCACATCACTGGCCAGTGTTGGAAGGTGGAGAAGTTGGCACTGATGTTTGCCGCCCCCCCCCCCCCCCCCCCGGCTCCCCGAGGCCACATCACTGGCCAGTGTTGGAAGGTGGAACACTCACGTGGTCTGAGCTCTGGCTAGTTTTGTACATGGTGTTGTGTTTGAGAACTTTGTATCAACATTTATGTTAAGCCGATGATGCCAGTGATGCATTACCAAGGTGATGGGTCAGGGTGACCAGTGGATTTCACAGTGGGATCTTTTTTGGAACTGTGGTTGGTGACTTTTGTGTGTCAAGCTGTTGTTGACTCTGCTGGGGGGAGGGGGGGGCACCTTGCCCGTTCCTAGACGACTTAGTGTTGTGGGCAGGAGAAGACATGACTGAGATTTTGGATGTCCTTATTGAGACTTGACCACCCCCCCCCCCTCCACCCCATCAGTGCTATCTGTCACCCCCGCACCTTGTTAAGACCTTATGGTCAGCAAGGAACTAGTGTACCACAGTTACCAGGTGCTGGAGCCTAGTGACAGCTGGCAACCTCATAAGTGCTATTGGGAGTTTTGTTCTGGGTGAATTTGTATGAATATATTATGGTGTCATGCTTATAATTTGGCCCCAGCCAACTGGTAACTTTTGTTGGACTTTTCCTTATCATCTAGACGTAACTATTGTAGGCCAGGAGGCTCTTGGTAATTTGTGTAAGGCACTACGCCGCCAGGGAGGCTCTGGGGGTTCATGACATGACATTCCTGTTACCACCCTTGAGACTAAATAAGGTTCTTCTCCCCGCAGTGCAATAAAGAAAATAATAAATCGGCCTTGCCAACAACTGTCTAGGGGTAAATATACATCACTGCATAAAATGGAGAACAATATATTTATGCTAAGGGGGGACAATCAAACCAACACTTAAATGTATCAATAATAACCAGAAATATTCTTCAGCATGCAAATCATAGAATAACCTCCTTATTGAGACATGAGCACTATCACTAAGACATGGATTAATTAGAGAGATATATACAATATGATCTAACCAGATAATTAACATTTATATGGGCTAAAATAACAGTGACCAATGACTTAACTTAAACATGACTCCTCACGACAGCAGCCGCCACGCTTCTGCCCACGCCTTGGACCGCAGGCCAAGCGTCTACCAAAAAATCAACTAACCGTCCACACAAAACATTGTGGAAAATCTAATAATAAAACGCAGCACTAATATTCAAAACATTGTTAAACTAAAGAGTAGTAAACACTGGTACAACATTCCATACAATAATACAGAAACCAAATATGGGCATAACTCAAATGGAAAACTATAAACACTCGATTGACAACAATGTTCCCACACTGGCCATATCCAAATATGGTCAACCGCCCACACGGAGAAACTACATGAGAATTTAACACCAAAAGCCTCACACAATATAATGTAACTCATGCACACTACTGCATGCTATAATATATATATATATATATATATATATATATATATATATATATATATATATATATATATATATATATATATATATATATATATATATATATATATATATATATATATATATATATATATATATATATATATATATATAACATACAAAATCTTATATCATACAACTAGATGCTATATTAAGAACAAGACAATAAAGTAATATGAGAATCAAGAGTAATGGCAGAATCCTAGTGAGATTCGTAACATCCCTCCCGTCCCCTAAGAAAAAAAATGAAATTAACTGAAGGTTGATTTCATTTTTTTTTTACTGCATGAAATATAACATGTAATATAACATGAAAATAAAACATGAAAATGCTTCGACTAAAATTTAAGTGCAAAGCAATGATATCTCACACAGTAAAAAAATACAAAAATTTCATACATCTTATGAATAGAAACACTACATAGGTTTCACTGGAGTATGCAAATTTATCTCTCCAGGGTACTATCTCATTTATATCACTTAGTTTCAGATCATATTTCACACTCTTATCTACAACATTATCATTATTAGAATTGTCAAGAAAGGTAGCTGCTTTCACACAGTTATCACGGCAAT